TCCTCTTAGTTATGATAAAATCTATTAAATCGTTATGTTTTAATCTGAGATGAGTCCAGGTAACCTTATGCTTCACTTTTTGAAGAAATAACGTGTTACTAATTGCAAGATCAAGCCGAGAACAAATTCAAGGATATATTGCTGTTCATCTTTCGAATCCTTTAGGGACCGAGAACTTTCCAGGTTTCGTGTTTTTTTTTCCCTACTTTGCATTAAAGTTTCCAAGGATTATCAGTTTCGAGTTGATTAACATTTGGAAGAGCTAAATATATATAATTTGTGCATAGCGCGCCACAAAATCCCAGATGCTCCTCTTCAGGCTTTGAATTCAGAGATGTCCTTCCATTAGACTGGTTGATAGCCAAGAGTACCTCTAATCGCAAGGTCATCTACAGTCATTTTGCGCCATGTTTCTAACAACGTTTCAGCATTCCTGGCAGATTTTCTAATATCAAAGTGTGGAATACCTACGTATTCCACACTTTGATATTACAAAAGTGAAGGAAAGAAAAAGAAAAAGACTGTAATTGAATTCGGAAAAAAAATATTCTTAAATTGCCAACACCCCTCTGTCGTGCCCAAATATGGATAAAATGCACCACAAGTAAACTTTTTCCACTTTCTCATGCTAATACTTCAATACTGTTTTTGATATATGAAATATATATATATCGTTATCTCTTATATATATATATATATATATATATATATATTTATATATATATATATATATATTTATATATATATATATATAGTATGCGATGGGTAAATTGCCGGCATTTTATATTTTTATTTTCGCACATTCGCGTTGTTTGTTTTTGATTTTGTCGTCTGCACAGTATATTAGGATCAGTTGAGCACCGACTGTGGGAAAAAGAGCACCATTATGCAATTCACTCTGCTAGAAATTTGGAAACTGCATGCTGTACTGCTTGGCATTCGCACCGGAAGCGCCAATACGAATATTTTAGAGTGTTTGGGTGTCAATCTGAGAACAGTGTAGAGGATTCGGAAAAAGTTGGATGAGTCTAAAGGTGATTACAAAGATACGGCAGTTCGCAAAACTCACTCTAATCGTTCTGATATAAATCGAACTCCCGAATTTGTCGATGAGTGCTTCAGTCTCAACACGGATGCCTACATCAAATGCCTTGAGGAGGCAGTACTGCCCTGGATCAAGAGGATGGCTGCTGGAAGACCCTATGTCTAGCAACAGGACTCTGCATGATGCAACACAAGCAGGAGATCCCTGTCATGCATATCACCTCTTGCATCTGGCCACCTAACTCCCCAGATTGCAACCCCTCCCTTGATTATTATATGTGGGGCGCAGTTGAGCGAGAGAGCAACAAAACTCCTTGTGACACCAAAGATGAATTAAAAGCAAGAATTATGGCAGCATTAACCAGGAGACCGTCCAGAAGAGATGCAGGAGATTTCAAAGTCATCTGGAGTCTGTGGTTGAAGACAATGGCGACTTATTGAATAAATTTAAACTTTAGTATTCCAAGATAGTTTGGTGTAATTTTGGTAAATATATCTGTTTAAATGAGATATCAGGATTATTTTCATTTTTGCGTAATTTAGACGACAATTTATCCATCGCAACAATATGGATGGACAGGCACATACACACGCACGCCTATACGCATTTTATATATATATATATATATATATATATATATATATATATATATATATATGTTTTTCCATCCTTTAATTAGCATTTCCTTGTAATCGTAAACGCTTTTTTAATATACGTACATACATAGATACGTACACACACACACATATATATATATATATATATATAGACATTAGTGTCAACATATATATATATATATATATATATATATATATATATATATATAGATAGATAGATAGATAGATAGATAGATAGAGAGAGTGAGACAGAGAGAGTGAGAGAGAGAGAGAGAGAGATTGGTGTCAACGTCTAGTTTGTTTCATTCATGAACGCTATCTTCAGGCCATACGCACACCCATACACACACACACATATATATATTTGTGTGTGCATGCATTTCTTTTTATTTCACATCTGCACAGACAGACACACACATACACACACACGCGCACACATACATAAACACACACCCACACTTCTCTCTCTCTCTCTCTCTCTCTCTCTTACAATCTCTGATTTATTTCATTTCTACTTCACCTCTCTTTTTCCATTTTTATTTTGGATACAATCTTTCTTTGTTAGACAAGGAGCTTTTCCTTCTATTTCACTCTCCCCCTCTCCTACAGTCAGATTTTTTCGCCTTGTTTCTATAACACACACACACACACACACACACACACACACACACACATATATATATATATATATATATATATATATATATATATATATATATATATATATATTACTTAAGAGCTACTTTTAGTGGATACTCGTAATTGAGTAGACGCCCCGTTTAATTATTATACAGTAGTTTTAACTATTTTCGTCTACCAGCCTGAGCGGAGATCACATACTTTTCTCCAATAAGATTTCTCGAATCTTCAGACTGCTATACGAATATGAATAAATGTACTTTTTAATAAATAAACTCTTTTATATTTCAGTACATACACCTTACATATAGTAGATAACGCCAGTAAAGAAGAAAAATATTTGTAACATGATAATTGTGAGTTCAATCTCTGGGCAAGGCTCCGTTGAAACAGGAGCAAACGATAAGTGAGCAGTACTAAAAAGAATGGAACAAGACTAGATATTCCCAGACACACTCAACAGAACGGAAACAACTGACTCCGCTAAATTAAATAAAGAGCTTAAATGTGAAATTCCCTGAATGTTGCCCAGATCAAGCAGGCACCCTGAGAAGGTAGAGTCGTGGTGAAAATGGCCGAAATATATATATCAAAAATAAAGATGACGTTATTAGTTCGAATGTCATTAATATAAGTAAAACACCAGTTGCATGTTTTTGACATTTATACGTCTGTCCTTAAACTTATAATTGCATACAGTTCGGTATTGTACGTATTCGCACAATCACACACCAGCATGTTTTCTTAAATCCCTTCATAATGAACAGCTACTCCGAGTACACCTGTCTGCTTAGCAATCCCTATCACATACACCTGCTCAGGCATATTTGTGATTTTTTCAACAAAAAACATAGTCCATTTGCTTTTATACTGCAACTATGTCAAGCAGACCTTACTTACAGTTTGTTGGGGGTGACGCATAATCTGTCATGGTTAGCAATTTGAATAATGCCAGTAAAATCAAACCCTCAACCACGATGACTCGTTTTACTTCGTCTTAGCGCAACCATCAAGTTTCCAAACAGTTCTGTCTCATCCATTTTCACTAACAAGGCTTGGGTCAACCCGTTGGATTTTATCTTATTTTATTTTTTTATTTGTTTGCTACTTTCCAAAGGTGCTGCACGCTGGTATTGCCATCCTATTAAAACGATTCCTGACAAATCGATCGAGTCATATGGTTGGAAAAAGAAACTTTAAAACCACCATATCAACATACGTGTATATACGTACATACATACATACGTTTTTCTTAGGAGCATATCAGTATAGTTACACAAACGAAACACTCACATCCACTCACAGACATCCACTAAAATAAATATGTCGGCATAAACGGGCAAAAAGCAAGATAACATTGTTGGAAACGCATACAATGGTGAAATTTATATTTCTACGTCTCATATGATTTCGAGAACTCCTCTTTCAGTCATTTGATACAGAACTATCTACAACCATGACAATTCTTACCCCAATATATTCACTTGTCTACATCCTTTCATTCTACATACACCATTCAAACATATAGTCAAAGAATATATTATCTTTTGTGGGGAAATGCGTGCATGTATCACAAAAAAACCCATTGTTCAATAAAATTTTTATATATATATATATATATGTATTCATGTGAAATGAGAACGAATTATTCATATGTTTTTTTAATAGTAATAATATATATATATATATATATATATATATATATATATATATATATATATATATATATGCGTGTGTTTTAGTTGGCCGGTATATACAATCGAAAACTTCTCTTCTTCCGCTGTATGTATTTCCATTTACGATTTTCTTGTAAAAATGCGATTATGTCAGCATATCTTTTATTTATCTTCAACTATAGAACTACTCGCTATATGTATGTATGTATGAATACATCTATCTATCTATCTATCTATGTTTATTTATATCTATCAATCTATTATCTAAGTTTCACCTCTATTGATTCTTTCTCTCTATCCATTCCTCTCTCTCAATCTCACTCTTTTTCTCTTTCTAGCTGTTTATTCCTCTTTCTATTTATAAGTGAATTTTATATATATATATATATATTCCATAACGAAATTACCTATTATGTAATCATATTATAACTACAATCATTTCTTCTCTCTCTATAGAATCCATGCATACAGTCTCGTCCCCACCCCGTCTTTCTGCTACCTCTCTCCTTTTGTATATTTTTCGCGCTCACCTCCAACGTCGCCATCTGTCCCCAGCCTTGTCGCGCAACAAGTAGGGCGGCCCGTCTCTTCCTGCAGTGCGCTTTTTAGAATAACAATCACAACAATACACACAGCTTGAAGGGGAAAATGGAAAAGGATTTAGGAAGAGGTTGGTGATGTTTTGTGAACTAGAAGTGAAAGAAAAGGAAAAAGAAAAAGAAAGAATGAAAGAAAGAGAGAGGGCGGTTGAAAAGATCAAGTCGCGAAAGAAGGGCAAATATAAAGGAAAAGGAATAATTAGTAATAGAGGGAGTGAAAAAGACAGAAACAAAGAGAAATAGATGAGAAAGTAAAAAGCAGAGGAGAAAAAAATAACATTGAAAGAAAACAGGAAGAATAGGAAGAGAGTAGGAGAAAAAGTAAATTAAGAAAATATACATGACATGGTGGTTAAAAGCAGAGGAAGAAAAAGGGAAGGGGATAAAAAAGAAAAAAAAATAAAGAAACAAGGATAACGCAACCTTAAAAGAGAAGAAAGAAAGAAAGAAAGAATGAAAGAAAGAAAGAAGAAAGAAAGAGAAAGAAAGAATGAATGAAAGAAAGAAAGAAGAAAGAAAGAGAAAGAAAGAATGAATGAAAGAAAAAAAGAAGGGAAAGAAAGGAAAAAGGAAAAAAGAAAGAACGAGAAGAAGGAAGGAAGAAAAAAAGAAGGAAGAAAGAGAAAGAAAGAAAAAAGAAGGGAAAGAAGAAAGAAAAAGGAAAAAAGAAAGAAAGAGAAGAAGGAAGGAAGAAAGAAAGAGAGAAAAGAAAGAAAAGAAAGGAAAAAGAATGAATGAAAGAAAGAAAGAAAGAAAGAAAGGGAGAAAAGAAAGAAAGAATGAAATAAATAAATGAATAAAGAAAGAAAGAAAGAAAGAAAAGGAGAAGGAAACATAGGAAGAAAAAAGAAAGAAAGAAAGACAGAGAAAGAAAGACAGAGAAAGAAAGAAAAGGAAATAAAGAAAGAAAGAAGAAAGAGAAATAAATAAATAAATGAATAAAGAAAGAGAAGAAAAGGAAAAAGAAAAGAAAGAATGAATAAAGAAAGAAGAAAGAGAATAAATAAAGAAAGAAAGAAAGAAAGGAAGGAAGGAAGGAAAGAAAGAACGAAAAGGAAGGAAAAAAGAAACAAAGAAAAAGAAAATAATTAGAAAAGGAAAGAAAAGAGACAGTAAAAGTGAAGTACTAAAAAACAACTGAAGCAAAAAAAAAAAGTTGCAAATAGAAAAAAAAGAAAAAGAGAATAGAAAAGAAACAAAACGAAAAGAAAAAGTGAAGGACAGAAAAGGAAAGAAAAAAAAACGGAAAGAAAAAGAAATCAAAATGATAGAAATATGTCAATATATAAAGGAAAAGAGTAAAATAATTACAAAGAAAAACAGGCGTGGAAAAAAAAATGAACGATAAAGTGTAAACAGTGGATGTAAAACTTTTGCACAACTTGTTGACGGCGTAGATTACAAAGAAAGAGAGAAAAGAATAGAGAAAGAAATAGTAAGAGAAGAATAAAAGTAAACGATGTGCTTGTTGTAGTCGTACAAGCGCCACCAGAAAGAAAGAAACAAAGAAAACAAGGAGAAAAAAAGAGAAAGAGATAAAGAAAAGCAAAAAAAAAAAAAAAGAAAAGAAAAATAGGCTGGAAAAATATGGAGGAAGAGGAATGTGGCCCGTAGCAACAGGTTTGGATAGTAGATATAGAAAGAAACAGGATCAAAATCAACAAGTGGGGAGTAGTAGAGAGAAAGGCAAAGAGAAAGATAAAGGAAGGGAGAGAGAGAGACTGACAGCAAGAGTAAAAAAAATATACTGAAAAGAATAAAGAAAAGAAAGAAAAACTATTAAAACAGCAAAAAAGTGGAACAAAGAAGAGAGAAAGCAAGAGTGTATGCCATTATGACGTCACACAGTCATGTGGTCATCTAACCTTGGCTCACGGTGCCTGCCAACATTTTTTTTCTCGGCTACAACTTTTGTTGGTGGGGTGACTTTGTGTATGCGTACTTGTATATCATGTGTGTGCTGAGCAGTTAGCATTCTTTCAAGAGGAAGTTAATGTGGATATGTATGTGAGTTTTATGTACACGGCTCGAGTTTTATGAGTGTGAGGATTTTGAAAGACGCGCGCGTGGATTTTAAAGTTTACAACGTTCAATGAGAAGGGGGAATTTGGTAGTAAATTTGTTTTAAATAAGTGAATAAAAAAAAGATTTTTATTTTTTTCAAATAACCAGGAGCAGCTTGAAAGCAACCTATCTATCTATCTATCTATCTATCTATCTATCTATCTATCTATCTATCTATCTATCTATCTATCTATCTATCTATCTATCTATCTATCTATCTATCTATCTATCTATCTATCTATCTATCTATCTATCTATCTATCTATCTATAAGAGCCTGTTAATATCTATCTATCTATCTATCTATCTATCTATCTATCTATCTATCTATCTATAAGAGCCTGTTATCTATCTATTCATCTATCTATCTATCTATCTATCTATCTATCTATCTATCTATCTATCTATCTATCTTACAACAGCCTGTTCATATCTATCTATCTATCTATCTATCTAGAAGAGCCTGTTCATATATCTATCTATCTATCTATCTATCTATCTATCTATCTATCTATCTATCTTACAACAGCCTGTTCATTATCTATCTATCTATCTATCTATCTATCTATCTATCTATCTATCTAGAAGAGCCTGTTTATATCTATCTATCTATCTATCTATCTATCTATCTATCTATCTATCTATCTATCTATCTTTACAACAGCCTGTTCATATCTATCTATCTATCTATCTATCTATCTATCTATCTATCTATCTATCTATCTAGAAGAGCCTGTTTTATATCTATCTATCTATCTATCTATCTATCTATCTATCTATCTATCTATCTATCTTACTTAGCTAGTGTATTCATAAATGTCGATTCCTATGTTTATGCCTATGTGTAGAGCACGCAAAACGTTTACTTGTAAGTAGGTGCGGTTGAATAAAATAATTGTTCCTTTTACTTTTTCTGTTTTTCTGAACCAGAACGCGTTTCTTTCATTTACAGACATCATTTATTTTTCTTCTTTATCAACTCGCACACACACATGTACTAACCAACGCATACATGAACAAAGTACATAAAGTTAAATGTTTATTACAGAGAGTAAACACGTGAATACTTTACACACACACACACACACACACACACACACACACACACACACACACACACACACACACACACACGACGCGCACACACGTATTCAGCCTTGCATTAAATGAGTTTGCGTGGGCATGTGTATGTGTGTGTAGTCTCGCGCATGCGCACATGTATTTATTGCCACTTGCATAAACAGGCTTATTTTCTATCGACTTCAATTCATAAGCGGACAAATTTTCGCTAATTACTGCCTGTGCTAACTTGTTTATTTCTTTTGTTTCGTAGATTCTCTTTTTGGCCTCAATGCTTTTAAGCCCTTTTCAGATTTTTGCGTCATATTGAGAACAATTTCATAGAAAGATTTTAATGAAGTCGGAATATAATACATTCTGAAATTAAAAGGATTCTTTTATATCCTTTACATATATTAGTAATATATAATTATTATATAATCTTAACAATATCAAAATAATTACAACCACATCCCAAACTATTATGAATATGATCAAAAACGTCCATAATAATAATAATAATTCTGAAATAGATATAAAATAAACTGTTACAACTCTTTCTTACGTATTACTTACTTGCTTATTGGGGAAATCTACAGAAATAAAAAATAAAAAATAATAATAAAATAAAAATAAAACGTATATTTGAAAATAAATGAATAAATAAATAAAAGATCTTATACATAACAATTTATTAAAAGTATTAGTCATGGATAGAAATATGTTCAACCAGAACTTTAATCTAAAGAATGTCATACTTATTAAAAAATGAAAGTTATTAACTTAGACGGAAAATCGCAACTATTGAATCTTATCAGAATATAAATCTGTACAGCTGATTTTTTCAAATATCTCCTTTCCTAAAATATCTACTCCTTTCCTAAATCAGTATTCTTCTTTATGTGTTTCGTCACTTCAGGACGTTGTCAATCATGGCTCTCCATAACTTCCTGACCCTTGTATCTCCTTCAAAAAAATGTTGTCCTTTTGTATTTCGCCTAAACCCTGCTCAATAAGTATGCTATAAGTTGTTTTCCTCTGTTCCTCTTGCCTTCAATCTGTCCTGTAAGTATCAGATTTTCCAAGTCCTCTTTTCTTATTATGAGTCATCTGGGAATTTCATTTTTCTTTTCCTGATGTTAAGTATAAGTTTCCATTTTCTCTAAAACATGTTCGGTTCATGATAGCATCATCATCCTTTTCTCCTGTTTCTTCTTCATCTTTGTGGAGATTGTCCACATTCACTGTCATATAGGAAGACGGATATCACGTAACAATTCAATAATTTTTTTATTTGTTTCTAAGTATTTCTTAATACTTTGCTTAGCTTCCGCAAGGTAACTTTGGCTATCTCAAAGTGTCTTCGGATTTCAGTGTTACACTTTCCGTCCTCTGTTAAAACACATCTCAGATATTTAAATTGTTGTACTTGTGTCATTTTGGTATGTTCGATTTTTAATTTGCGTTTTAGGTTCACCCTTTTTTTCTAACAGCCTTGCATTCTGGCTGTTTGCAGTCGATTTTTAATCCTTTCTTCTCACTTTCCTTCACTAAAAAATTATGAAATTAAAAGAAAACGGTAAAATTCAAAAGCTTCTTAAAAATTAAAATAAATAAATATATAAATATTTAATTAAAATAAAATAATAATTACATTATAAATATAAAAAAAGATTCAACAAAAATAACAGTATTTACTCAGTTTATTTTATAAAATTACATCACTTAGCATCCTCCATCGTTCACAGTTTGTCTAAATAGTATTTATGAACGTTCTTAAATTTCAAAATGTTAAAAACCGAACGATATTTTTACTTCTACTTATAAATACTTGTTGCAAAATTACATTTGCTTTAAGTCAGTAAAGAAAAGTTTTCCTTTTGTCTGTACTTTTATTAATAAACTTTTAATTTTATTGAATTAATCTGTTCCTATACAAGTAGATAAACTAATCTAAGTCAAATTTGAACAGTTTCTCGACCAAAATCAATCAATCGGCTAACAGTCTCCTATTTGCTTTTCATTTAATAAGAAAGCCACTGACTTTCTGCTACCGAAATAAATCCATAGTATTTACACTATTTATATTGTCCTCATCTTTATTGTCATCTTCATGACGTTTCGACCGTTGTACGCTCCGACCTTCTTCAGGATTTCTCTATATTTCTGAGATTAAGTATTTTAACTATTTACACTATTTACATTGCTCGGACTGTTGTCCTCATCTTTATTGTCATATTCATGACGTCTCGGCCGTTGTACACTCTGGCCTTCTTCAAGATCTCTTTATATTTCTGAGATGAGATATTTTAACGATTTACATTATTTCTTCTGGTGATATACGTTGGAATTTCGAATTGAACCCTTTATTTCGTCCACTGGTGTATATTGTGCTAGTTCCGCATGCCATGCCTTTTCTGGGTATCTCACTTTAAGTTGTTTCCCTTATGTCTCAGTAACCTGTTTATCTGAGCTCATATTAGAATTTGTTGTTATTATTGACAGAAATCTATAGTAACTGTATTTAACTGCATTAAATTTTTTGCATTAATTACATTCTTCAGACTGTTGTCCTCCTCTTTATTATCATATTCAGATGATTGGGGTTTCGAATTGAATCCTTTATTTCGTCCACCGGGGTAGAGTGTTCTAGTTCCACGTGCATACAACGGCCGAAACGTTGTGAATATGGCAACAATCCGAACAATGTAAATAATGCAAATAATTACAATACCTCATCTCAGATATATAAAGACGTCCTGAAGAAGGCCGGAGCGTACAACGGCCGAAACGTCATGAATATGACAATAAAGATGAGGACAACAGTTTCTTCATTTCAAATTCCTTCCTAGTTATAGAATTGAAATTATAATAGTTTGTAGACGCTAAGTTTTATTGTTATAAAGTATTGCCATTTATATGCCAATATCGCTGACACACAGGTGTGAAGACAAGTGAAAGATTTTTCCTTATATATGTTTTTAATTTTCATATGAAGAATGCTCGAGGAAAGACTCTAATTACCAGTTATTAAACATGGAATTACCTTCTACCTACTTATTAAAAAGTACATAGAAACCAGTAACCAGATTGCACTTGAAAATGCTTCACTTTCACAGATAGTGTATTTTAGCAATATTGCGTTAATAAACATTGTGCTACGATATAACGTTGCTGTGTTATGGTAACGCACAAATCGATATCGTATCATTGTTAATTTCATATTTTACAGTTTTGTTTGTTCTTTGGAAAAGGTCAGATATTATCCCAGATCTTTCAATTCTCCTCCTTAATCTACGAAAATCGTACAATTCTTATTTACGATGACTAGATATGAACGTATGGACTAGTTTAAGTAATCGTTTAAATTTCAAGATTTTAGATTTTTATTCTCTTAGATTCTGGTTTGTGCATATATCATTGGTCTGCAACCATTTTTACAGCTACCAATGGATTACCGATCCTACCCATTCATGTATTTTTTAATTCCTTCTGAAGCAACCTGTTGCATTCACTCCTTATATGATTGACGCTTTCTTCTCTCTCTCTCTCTCTACGTTCTCTACATTTATGACTTTCATATACCCTATCTATTATAGTCATAACATTATTATTATGGAATTATTCTGGACCTCTATTAATAGAGATTCAGTTTCTCTCTTTAGATGTCCTCTTCACGGTTATGACATTCCTCTTTTTTCTCCGTGCAGTTGTTTTTCTTCCTTATATATGCTATTTTGGCATTTCAGCGTTTTCTGATATTCTCTT